GAAAAATGAAAGTGAGGAAGAAAGCATGCTTGGCTGAGTCATGGCCAGTTCCTTCTGATGCTATGGGACAGTTGGTCTGATGGGAACATGCCCCTCATCTGAAAGATGACCACCCAAGATGCACTGTTTGGAGAGAGCATCACAAGACAACAACAGAAAGAACCATTCACAAGCAAGATAACGTATGGACTGATGTAGAGTGCTTCCTGAGGAATCACTGCTGTAATGAATTCTATCCATCAGAGACAAAGGAACTCTTTCCTTTCGATTATGTCTGTCACATATAGCTTTGAAAGAAAGGGCATGCTTGATCTTTATATAGGACTTCAACCCACTGCAGCTTCTGCAGAAATGTGGGTAGATGGGGAAATTCCAAATCGGATGAGCTGGATAGCATTCTGGATACAGGAAATCTATCCCATAAAGGGGAACTATCAACTTTACCTATAAGAGGGGCCAGGAATTTAGCTCAGTGGTTCTGGTGCCTGCCTCGCAAGGGCAAGGTCCCGAGTTTGATCCCCGGTATCAAAAAAACCAAACCAAAACAAACAAACAAACAAAAACAATAAACTTTACCTATAAGTGAGGTTGCTGAAATGTTAAGAATGCAAGCAAGGACCTTTGGCCTGGTTAGGTGATGATATGAAGGGTGCCTAATTTCATGCCTTTGACCTAAGAGACACTGTGACAGGAGGCCTCCAACCACTTGGACTCTTCATGTGACTCATGTGTTGGAGAAGAGTTGAGGGGCTTTTGCAGATGGACTACCCCTTTGCTCCAAAGTGTGTGAGAAGATCAATATTGGTCATAAGAGGGCCAGGGATTTAGCTCAGTGGTTTCGCCGCCTGCTGCGCAAGTGCAAGGACCCGAGTTCGATCCCTGGTACCAAAAAAATATATATATATTGGTCATAAGAAAGAGAACAGTATGAATAAAAGAGGTTTAAAAATCTCAGGACTATGAGTCAGGTGGAAATGTTCAGGTGGATGACTAGAATGGCATGAAAGAGCTGGGATGTAGCTCAGTGGTACAGCATTTTCCCAGCACTGCATAGCCCTGGCTTTAGTCTCTATCACAGCAAAATAAGGGGCTTTTTTGGGCTTTTTTTTTTCTTTTGGTACCAGGAACCAAACTCAGGGCCTCACACTTGCCAGGCAGGCACTGTACCACTGAGCTACATACCTGGTCCCAACACAGCAAAATAAAACAAGGAAATAACATGAAAAAGGAAATAAAGGGAGTTACAGCAAAATGTTAACACATCACTGTAAGATGATTTATATAGTGCAGTGGTGGTGAAACTTTTCAAGATGAGTGCCAAACTGCAATCCAAGCTGGGCATGGGGGGGCACGCCTCTAATCCCAGCACTCAGGAGGCACAGGCAGGAGTATTTCTGTGAATTTAAGGACAGCCTGGGCTATGGGCTACACAGTGAGCTCAAGGCTAGCCTGGACTACATAGCAAGACCCTGTCTCAAAAAACAAAACAACACAACACAAAAAGCCAAAAGGAATGTGATGTGAAGAGGCTGGCAAGTTCTGGTGCTGCCCCCGCCTGGTACCTAGGACATTTGCATCGGCAAGGATAAAATAGCCTGGGGGTGAGGAAAACCTTCACTAGCATTGTTGGGCTGGATGTGTAATTTGTTCTTCTATGTAGACCTGCTAATGAGAGGTCACAGGGCAGTTAATTAAATGAGTGTGAAATGACAGTGCAACTCTGGCTGTAGGAGCAAGAAATATCTTCACAAAACACCTTCACTCAAAGATGCACAGCAGCGTTGTTCATAGGAACCCAAAGTGTAAACAAACCAAATGTTGATGAGTGGATAGATAACGTGACATAGCCATATAATGCAGCAGTATTTGACAACAAAAAGGAATGTGAAGTACTAATATGTTCTACAACGTGGCTGAACCTTGAAAACATGCTAAGTAGATGTGCCTAGACATCAAAGACTATATATTGTATGATTCATATGAAATGTCCTGAATAGGCATCTCTCTCTTGTTGTTGATTTTTTTTTTTTGTACCAGGGATCAAACTCAGGACCTTGTGCTTTCAAGGCAGGTGGTGGTACCACTGAGCTAAATCCTCAGCCCTGTTTTTTGTTTGTTTGAGACAGGGTCTCTCATGTGTTCAGGGTGGCCCTGAACTCATTCATTATGTACCTCATGCTGACCTCGATCTTCCTGCCTCAGCCTCCTCAGTCCTAGGATTACATGTGTGTGCCACCACATCTGGCTCAGAATAAATACATCTATAGAGAGTAAACTAGTCCTTGCCTAGGGGTGGGTGGGTTTAGGGGAAATGGGAAGCAACTGCTAGTGGATAGTGTTTCTTCTAGGTGATGAGATTGTGTAAAATTGGCTGTGATGGGCTGGGGATTTAGCCCAGTGATTCTGCTGCCTGCCTTGCAAGCGTGAGGTCCCAAGTTCAATACCCAGTACCAAAGGAAAAAAAATTGCTTGTGGTGATGACTGCACAAGTCTATTGTTCTGGAATCGCAGAAAGAAATGCACAGAGACACAGAATTTGGGTAAAATAACAAAGGTCTTTACTTGCTAGCAAGCCGGGACGCCAGAAACTGCTCTGGTCAGAGACCCCCCCCTGCATTCTTTGTCCATCACCTTTTATACTTTTGTCAGTCATTATGTCATCTCTAGTGGTCTTTGTTAAGTAAATAAAGTTCCAATTCCTGTTTAGTGGTTAGACACAGGTGGTTTCTGTCACTGATTTCCTAAACACATGACAGTTAAGGCACATATATCACAAGTTTGTTCAAGGATCCCCACTTTGTTCTTCAGAGCTAGGATGTTATGTATAGTGGAGCTACAGATCAAAGGAGCTATATAACCTTCACTTTAAACCACAAAAGCAATGGGCTAAGGCAAGCTTTTAAAGGGATACACTACCTATTTTGCTTTCACAACTACTTTAATAGCTAATCTACTAACCTTACTTTAAAACTTTTCCCTATCACTATGACTATGTTCCCATCTAGTAATACATTTTATTTATTTTCTGGTACTGGGAATTGAACTCAGGAACTTGTGCCTGCCAGGCAGGTGTGGCACCAGAGCTACATCCCCAGCTATTAATACATTTTAAATGGATGATTTATGGTTTGTTTTTATCTCAATAAAGCTTTGATTTTAAAAGTAGAGAGTGACTCAAAGTGGGGATTTTTGAAAGAAAATTTTGCAATGTTACTGTTACAATGGATGTGGTATCTGAATGAACATATCCCTTGCTCAACCTTTTAAGGAAAGAGATTTCATGAAAATCTGGTCTTCATCTGATTGTAATGAGTGATGCTAGGTGGGAAACTTTAGAATTACCTAACCCTACCCAAGTATGTATTCAATTTGAAACAGTACAAGATATTTGGGGAAAACCCAAGAGATTCAGCCCTAATTAAGGATATGTTAGATGCAGATTTTCTAATGATGATGAACTCCTTGTTAAAAAACTTGGTAGGGGGCTGGGGATTTAGCTCAGTGGTTCCAACACCTGCCTTGCAAGTGGAAGGTCCCGAGTTTGATCCCCGGTACAAAAAAAACTTTGGTAGGACATGGGCATGATGGCACACACCTGTGATCCCAGAACTCAGGGAGGCTGAGGCAGGAGGATCACAGGTTCAAGCCTGGCCTGGGAGACTTAGCCACTTAGCAAAACCCTGTCTCAAAATAAAAAAATAAAAAAGGGCTGGATTCATTGCAAATCCCCTGGATTCAATCCCCAGTCCAGTGGACCCTTGACTTATGAACTCAATTCATTCCCGAGGGCTGGTCACAGCTCAAGTTGGTCAATTGCCTTCAAAGTCTCTCTCCTATATAATTTTAGGCCAAACTTTCTTCCAGGCAGATCTCAGTGTCCTTAGAGAGACAATGGCCTAGGATTTCTCAATTAATCTCCCACAGGTAAGGATATTGTAATGTTACTTCCAGAACTCTTTGAAGGTTAAATCTGTATCTGAGACCATCTAGAAGCACAAGCAGCCCATATTCAGGTCATAACTCAAGACTTTAGTTGTAAGGTAAAATTCTGGTTGTAACCCAAGTTGTTCATATGTCAGGCCGGTCGTAACTTGAAGGGCCACTGTACCACAAAAAACCACATCTGACTGAAGCCAGGGATTTAGCTCAGTGGCACCGTGCCTGCCTCACAAGTGAAAGGTCCTGAGTTTGATCCCTGATACAAAAAAAAAAAAAAAAAAAGAATGTGGCTGATTCAGTAGTTACTCTTTTGGAGTGTATCCTGAGGAAATAATAAAGACAGAATAAAAATTTTGTTCTAAGCATACTGAACTTTATGAAGAGAAAAATGGCAACAGCCTAAATGTCCTACAGTAGGGGAGTCATGAAGCCATTTAAAAGTACAAGGAGATATATATTTATCGATATAATATTTGATAGGTTTTAGTCAGGAAAGTAGTTTATAAAATGCATAGCACCTGTAGCCATAATTATGGTGGGGCCTCTCGAGCGTGGGCAGAGAGCACAACTTGGAAAGTGAACACAATTAGCACAACGATTTTTTTTTTTTTTTGGTACCGGGGATCGAACTGGGGACCTTTAGCTTGCAAGGCAGGCGCCGGAACCACTGAGCTAAATCCCCGGGCCAGCACGGCAATTTTTTTTAAAAAATGATTAATTCCATCAAAGCATTGCTGTTGGACACCCGCTTTTGCATAGCTTTTTTTTGACACAAATGCTAACTGCGCGACAGCGTGGCTCCGCTGTTACCAAGTGACGGCGCCAAGGCTGCCTCAATGGCACCAGCTCTGCGCTGCTGGACCCCCAGTGCCTAGCAGGTGCTCGTCTCCCAAGCAGGTGCTCAGCAAGTGTGTGTGATGGATAAAGTGGGTGAGAACTGACGCTTTATGATGTATGGAGACGCTTCTTCTTCAGTTTCTGCCTTCTTCAGACGTGGTGAGGAAATACTTCTCATAATAAAAGCGATACTGTAACCTGTCCACCTGCTTTTCCTTTTTCAGAAAATGACCACCCAGGAGGAGGCCTCCGAGGAGAAGATTTCCCAGTTTGATTATGACTTGGCCCCAGAAATGTCTTCTCTCCTGGGCATAGATGTCATTCCGTTTATAAAGGAACAAGAAGAACAAGAGCAGAGAGACCGAGCGAAAATGAAGAAAGGCTTCAACTGCCAAATGCGCAGTGAAGCCAGACGGCTGAAGACATTTGTGACCTATAAGCCGTACAGCTCGTGGACCCCGCAGGACATGGCAGCAGCTGGCTTTTACTTCACTGGGGTGAAGTCCGGGGTTCAGTGCTTCTGCTGCAGCTTAATCCTCTTTGGCACCAGCCTCGGGAAATTCCCCGTGGAAAGCCACAAGAAGTTTCGTCCGGGCTGTGAGTTCCTTCTGGGTAGAGACGTGGGTAACATCAGCAAGTACGACGTGCGGGTGAAGACTTCAGGAAAGGAGCCAGCAGCGATTGGAGCAAGGAGCCTCGAGGAGGAGGCCAGACTCGCCTCCTTCCGGGACTGGCCCCTCTACGTCCAGGGCGTGGCCCCACGCGCTCTCGCGGCTTCCGGTTTCGTCTTCACAGGTAACTCGAAGTCATGTCCTCAAGGGCTTCTTTCAGGTTTTAACTTGAGGGTCCACACTTGGGTTGCTTTTGAACTACTTTGTGAATCTTTCATCGCTTATTAAACGTGTTGTAGTAGATTAAAATTTATTAAAATTCCACTTCAGTAATTTTGCTTTGTTTTGTGCAGCCCATCAGCCTGTGTTAATTTGTCAATTCTGTGTAAAACCAGAAGGCATGTTTCCTTAAATATGGACCTTAGGCGATACAGCCTGTGTTCTTTTTTTTTGGTACAAGGGATCGAATTCTGGTCCTTGCTCTTGCGCAACAGGCATCGAAACCACTGAGCTAAATCCCCAGCCCCAGGCTGTATTCTTAAGGCCCTGGTGCACCTTGATCCCAGGCTTCTCATTCATGAGTATCTCTTCACCGTTCTCACATAAGCTTTCTTTGATTTAAAAAATTTCTACCAAAAAAATAAATACAAATAAAAATTTCTACAGTTTTGAGGGTTTTTTTTTTTAATCTTAAGTCTAACGTATAGGGTGAATCACATATCAGAACATCGCACTTTATGTATTTGATTGACTTACCATAGATGTTGACAGATGAGAATGAGAATTCTAAGAACTGTCATTTACTGAGCACCTACTTTATGGCAGGCATGGATGAATACTAATTCTACTCCAGCTCATTTGCCCCTTTCCCTCTGTTTCACAGCTGTTTTCATCGAGGCTCAAAGACTTTAAGAAATGGGGGGCTGGGGATTTAGCTCAGTGGTTGTGGCACCTGCCTTGCAAGCGCAAGGTCTTGAGTTCGATCCTCATTACCAAAAAAAAAAAAGGCTAAGAAATGGGTCTGCATTTTTACAGAAATGCGTGGAAAAGCTGACACCTGGGTCTCCTAGCTGTGTCCTTTCAGGGGGTCCTGCCGTCCCCATCATTCTGGTCCTCAGGGCGGTGCACTGAGCTCAGCAGCTGGGTGCTCTGCGAGGCCAGCTGTGTGCAGTGTGGGGCTCACGGAAGGTGGTGGGGCAAGTCGAGATCAGCCAGGAGCTCCTGGAAGAGCAGCGCAGTGTAGTTTCATTCATGAGGACAGTGGTTACCTCTGGGGACCCCCTCAGGGGCACTGCTGGACAGATGAGATGTTTTCCTGTGTCCACAGGCGACAGGGACACTGTGCAGTGCTTTTCCTGCGGCGGATGTTTAGGGAACTGGGAAGAAGGGGATGATCCCTGGCAGGAACATGCCAAGTGGTTTCCCAAGTGAGTGCTTCAGTATTTTCTGCTAACATTTGTCTGTGTGTCTTGTTTTATCTGGCAGTACTGGGGATTGGGCACTGTCCCACTGAGCTACACCCCCAGCTCTTTTTATTTCTATTTTATTGGTACCGAGGATCGAACTCAGGACCTTGTTATTGTGAGGCAGGCGTGGCGCCACTGAGGTAAATCCCCAGCCTCTATTTTATTTTAAATTTTTTTACTTTACTTTGATTTGTTTTTGTTTGTTTGTTTTGTTTTTGGGTACTGGGGATTGAACTCGGGTCCTTCCACTTGTGAGACAGGTGGTGGAACCACTGAGCTAAATCCCAGGCCCATGATTTTTTTTACTTTGAGACAGGGTCTTGCTAAGTTACCCAGACTGGCCTCAAACTTGCAATCCTCATGCCTCAGCCTACTGAGTAGCTGGGATTACAGGAGTGTAGCACTACACCCTTCTGAACATTTTTTAGTTTTAAAAAAGACAAAGACAGGGCCAGGGATTTAGCTCAGTGGTTCTGCCGCCTGCCTTGAAAGTGCAAGGACCCGAGTTTGACCCCCAGTACCAAACAAACAAACAAACAAACAAAAAGAGCCACCTTGCTGGAGTAGCTATGTCAGGTTAGATCTTGATCTCTCTCTCTCTTTCTCTCTCTCTCTCTCAAATCAGACCAACCCAGAATTATCCAGGTATCCCCATGGAAATAATATTATCCAGGTTATTTTATTTATTTTGGTTTTTTAAGACAGGGTCTTGCTATGTAGTTCAGGCTGGCCTTGGACTCATTGTGTAGCCCAAACTAGCCTCAAACTCATAGCCACCCTGCTGCCTCAGCCTCCTGACTGCTAGGATTACAGTTGTGTGCCACCACACTGGACTGTGTTCCTCTCATTTCTGTATTCCAGTAACCTGTTGTTTGGATTGCTGTTTGATCAGGCTCAGGTTCTGTTTTTTTTTTTTTTTGGTACCAGGGATCAAACTCAGGACTTTGTGCTTGCAAGGCAGGTGCTGGAAGTTTCTGTTTTCTTTAACAAACATCTGTCTACTACTTGTGAGTAAGTTGCTGGTTAGATACTGAATCACCCATAAAACAACTGGGAAGTTGTTCACATCTGTAAGTCATCTAGTTCGTGGGGAACCAGGCAAACAAAAAGGAAGGATAACTATGATATGTTAAGTGGAAAAAACAATGTGCACTATAATAGCTGTACTGTGAGCCTTTTAAAAATGTTCAAAATAACTAGGCATGGTAGTGCACACCTGTAATCTCAGCTCTTTGGGAGGCTGATGCAGGAGGATCAGAAGTTCAAGGTCAGCCTGAACAATTTAGGAAGACTCAATCTCAAAATAGAACAAAAATGGGCTGAGATGTATATAGGTCAGTTTACAGCGCTTACCTAAAATGCCGGAAGCCTTGGGTTTAATCTCCAGCACTGCAAAAGAAAAAAAAAGTTGTTATAACACCTCAAATTAAATAGGGACTTGTTTGAAAATCCATACAATAAGTTATGAAAGATATTAATCAGTAGATACTTACGGGTTTGGTTATGTGAGATGGGGAGGGATAATCTGAAGATTTAATTTTATTTATTTTTTTAAGATTTAATTTTAAATAACTACATATTATCACTAATAAAAATAAACCATAACTATTATCAAAACAGTGACAATTCTCATAAGTTTTGTAGTGAAACATTTTGACAGTTTTATAGAAGTGTAGCATTGTACAGTTCATTATGTTTAATGTGATCTAGGACATCTCTGCCACAGTGTTAGGGTAAAGTTTACATTTTACATTTTAAATTACAGATGTGAATTTCTTCAAAGTAAGAAATCTTCCGAGGAAATTTCCCAGTATATTCAAAGCTACCAGGGATTTGTTGATGTAACGGTAATTTATAAATGCAAGTTTTTTCTCAAGCTGTCTTTTTTGATTGCCTAATATCTGAATCCCTAGGGGGGAGGTGTTCTTTTTAATGTTGTGGGTTTTATTTCTTTCTTCTTTTCTCTTTTGATTCTTCTGCCTTTCATCTTCAGAGTGGTTAAAAAAAGAAGAAATGATGTTTCACATTCTCTTGCTAAGCCAGAGCGCTTAGCAGTCCCTTTTTCCAGGCTGGCCTTTGACAGGCTCTGACTGCCCTCTTGATCTTGGCTCTGAGGCTATGGCCACTCCCCTGGCACCTCTGCTGCTGGGGAAGGCTCCCTGACATGGCACTGCCACCACAGAGGACCTCAGGGCTGGCTCCTTCTGTGTGGTCTTTACCCTTTAGCAGCCAGGGTTCCTAGCAGGAAGTGAGCAGAAACCCAGCCCAAACTGGCTAAAACAAAAAAGAAAATTTATTGGTCATGTGAATCAAAAGACCAAAACCAAGCATGGACTGAGTTCAGGGTATGGTGGGGCACACTTATAATCCCATCACTGGGGAGGCTGAGGATCGAAAAAACCCAACCTGGGCAATTTAGTGATTTAGTGAAACTTCATCTTAAATTTTTTTGTTTTTTGAAACAGAGTCTTGCTATATAGTTCAGGCTGGCCTCAAACTCAGTATGTAGCCAGGGCCGGCCTTGAACTCATGGTGATCCTCCTGCCTCAGCCTCCAGAATGCTGGGATCACAGGTGTGCACCACCACGTCCGGTTTTGTCTTAAAATTTTTTTAAAAGGTGGATATAACTCAGTGCAGAGCCCCTGGGTCCAACTTCCAGTACAAAAAAGAAAAAAAAAGTCCAAAATTCAATTAAGGGAATGCTTCTCTAACAACTCTGCCATTCCACCTAGGGAAGCTCTTCATGGTGGGGGGTATTTCAGTTCTTATTCACAGATAGGTGTGTATAGGTTAAACAATCAATAATATATATTTAATTTTCCTCAGGGAGAACATTTTGTGAATTCCTGGGTCAGAAGAGAACTACCTGCGGCATCAGGTAAAAACTGAGACATATTCCAAAGGTTTTCCTTGTGTATTTCTTCTTTTGCTTTTTTGTCCCCCGTGTATTTTTTTTCTTTTTTGGTACAGAAGATTGAACTGAGGACTTTCACACAAAGCTACATTCACCAGCCCTTTTTTGTTTTGAGACAGGACCTTGGCAAGTTGCTAAATTGCCCAGGTTGGCTCGAACTTGCAATCCTCTGCCTCAGCTCCCAGAGTGTTGTTCCCATCTTTTTTTTTTTTCTTGGTACTGAGGATCAAACTCAGACTTTACACTTGCGAGGCGGCAGAACCACTGAGCTAAATCCCAGGCCCTCCAGATATGTTTTATTATAGAAAATTTCAGACATATGCGGAACTAAGATAATAGAACATGCTCACCAGACATGCAGAATTCTACTTCCATAGGACCAGTACTTGGCCACCTTCACCTCAGCCACATCCCTTCCTGCTTCTCACACCCAGTTATTCCAAGACAAGCTCAGTACCTAGGGCCATGGCATCTGTGAATACAGAGGGAACTTGCACTGTGTCCTAGCAAAGCTCACCACTCTCACCTGTGCCTTTCCTTCAAGCCTACGACAGTGACAGCATCTTCACTAATGAAGAACTTCGATGGGACACTTTTAAGAACTGGCCTCGAGCATCCCTGCCGACAGTGGAAGCCCTGGTCAAAGCAGGTCTCTCCTACAGAGGTGAGCAGCACCTGGTGCCTACTTGCTTGCTTGGCTGTTTAAACCCCATGTGGACTTGGGGATCCTGGCCTTATGTTGAGCTTCCTTCTTTTCATCAGGCTTTATGCATCCCTTTTAAATCCTCTCTCCATACTCCATACTGTTGGAAATCAGCCCCCAGGCTCAAATTGTTGGTGCCTGCAAGAATGCACTCAAACATGAAGCAAAGGTCTCAACAAGGCTTTTCTCTTCTGCAGAAGGGTGCAAGCAAGAGGTAGCAGGCACATAGGACAAAGGAATGTTGCTCCTTTTATCCCTGATGCAGGAGAAGCAGCTGGCCTTTAAATTCATTGGCTAAATTCAAAGGCTTACAATCTATCTCGGTTGATTGACTTGAGTGGGGTGCAGGGGGTGGGGGGTGCATTGGTGAGTAAATTAGAGGTGGGAGGTGTGCAGTTCGGAACACAAAGTTTTGGTTCTTATCTTGGAAAGCAGCTGTGTTCTGGAAAAAGGTACATAGTCACCATTCTTGGAGCTCAGGATATTAACGGGGTTTGAGGTAGTGAGTAGATGGCCATGTCCTTTAAACCCAAAATGGAGTTGTTTTGGCCTTGTGCTTTGAGAGAAAAGACAAAGTCTGTCTCTCACAATACCCCCTCTTAGGTGTGAAACTTCAAACTTGAAAGCCTAATCTAGACAAACGATAAGTACAAAAAGTCTGTTTGTGGTGACTACCATGTCTTTTCCTTTCTAAAAGTTATTCCCCCTGCTCCTTGCCCCATCTCTGCCTTAAAATGTCACAACATTTCTGCTTATATTTCCTTTAGCACAGTTTAGTTAGGTGGCCCTATGCCTCTATAAAGCAGAGCTGGGGCTGGGTGTGGTAGTACACACCTATAATTCCAGCACTCAGGATGCTGAGGCAGGAGGATCACCATGAGTTCAAGGCCAGCCTGGGCTACATAGTGAGTTTGAGGCCAGTCTGAAATACATGGTGAGAGCCTGTCTCAAAAAAAAAGAAAGGACTGGGGATTTAGCTCAGTGGTTTCACCTCCTGCTGCGCAAGTGCAAGGACCCGAGTTTGATCCCTGGTACAAAAAAAAAAAAAAAAAAGAGAGAGAGAAAGGCTGAGGGCCGGAGATATAGCTCAGGGGCATAGGGCCTGCCTGGCAGGTACAAAGTCCTGCATTTGATCCCCAGTACCACCAAAAAAAAAAAAGCGGAGCTGGGAAACCTAATATTTTTCCTGGGTGGTAATGTACCCTGTTAAGATTGAGGCTTCTGAAAAAAAAGAAAAAAATTGAGGCTTCTGGTACTGGAAGAATGGGAGAGCCTGGAGAGGTGTGGATAGCAGTCTGCCACACTCTACTCAGAGGAGAAAGTCAGGAAATTCATTTCCATGATTCTGAAATTTGCAGAGCCTTCTGCCAGTTCTTTGTATCCACTAAGAATGGCTGCTTATCCCGCAGCTCCACTGTTATTCCCCAAAGCTGTACCCTCTGTGAAATCTCTGCCTGAGGTGCACAAGGGGAAGAAGGAGGGGATACTGTGCCTTCCTAGGTACCCTGCTGGTCCTTCTCACACCAGGCGCACCCCAAGTTACCTCAGAGACTCTAATTCTTTAATAGAGAAATCATGGGGGCAACACAGGTACGACACAGCAGCTCAGTATCAAAGAGTGCAGCTGTCACTTTAACAGACATATTTAATTGGCACAGAAAAAATTTTTTTTCCCAGTACTGGGGATCGAACTCAGGTCCTTGTGCTTACAAGGCAGGCGCATTGCTACTGAGCTAAAGCCCTAGCCCTAAAAATCTTAATGCCTCATAGTCTTCAGCATTTAGAAAGACAGCGCTCTGCCCTTTCTGCACACCTTGGCTGCATGTCTTGCTCTTGCCAGACTTTCTCCAGGCCCCTCTGTCCAGAGTGCTTGTCCTCTCCCCACAAATCCTGGGGGTCTGATGCTTTTAAGGTCCTGAAAGCTCAAGGACCTCATTTTTTAAAATAATTCTTTTATTGGTACATTGTAGGTATACAACACAATTACATTTCTCATTGGGAATTGTACCTTTACATGATGCATCTTCGTTCTTATTTTTTCCCCATTCCTAGCCCTCCCTTC